GGCACAAGACTCTCAGACACGAGTGTGCGGCTCGGTACTTCTACTCACGGAGGTACTTCTTTGGGAGACCAGAGCTCGTCCCGCGCCACTGTGGATACTTTTTAGGGCCACGGAGGCAAGGACGAGGACGAGGACGAGGACGAGGATGATGGGGAGCATGGTTATGAGGAGCTTGGACCATCTCAGTTATAGGACGCTCCATCGACTCAACCTACGCAACCTGCAGGCACTAGGCGACGTCGTCCGCCTGACCCTTTCACTCCAGGCACCGACGCTCTTAGCCACAAGGGTAAGGGTAAGACTAGGAGACATTGAGGGCTTGTGGTAGACTTTGTAGTAGGATTTTGTGGTAGATATTATTATGGACTATTATGGACTTCATGGACTTTTATTTTGAACTATTATGTGTTGTATGAACTATTATTATGGACTGTATGGACTACTATGGACTTTATGGACTATAATTAAGGATTGTGTGCACTATTAATATGCTCATGTGTATGATTTGAGATGAATGTGGTATATTTTTGTATATCTGAACATGTTGTATTGAGGTTATATATTCATGTTATATTTGTGTATGGATTGCATAAAAAAATAGAGAAAACTCTGCCAAAATTTTCTAGCTAAAGTACATGTGTGCAGTACACCTATAGCATCTAGCCTTTACAACGATTTATCATATCACCGTCGTATCATACATAGACTTTTACAGATGCGTTGATTGCGCATACGAATGTAGCCTTTTCAGTTGAGCTTTGAAATAGGCTTTTCAGTCTGCCTTGAAACAGTGATTGAAGTATGAATTCGAATAGGCTTTTCAATCAAGGAATCTAGGCTTTCCAGTGTCCTTCGATGTAGACTTTTCAATGATTCAAGTAGGCTTTCCAAGAATAGTTACAAACACAATACAACGGCTAGTAAACCTGCCTTCGCCTATATATATGCGTTGCGGGATGCATTGCTAACCAAAACCAAAACTAGTATTTGCTTTCGTTGGAGTACTAATGTCTGGAGGGTTGTCTAGAGGAAAGGGTTTCGGCATAGGGAGAGGAAAGGGGGGACGAAGGGAACTCCCATAGTGTGGGAGGGGTCTCTTGGTCCTGATTTATTTGAGGAGCCAGTTGATCAGTTTTCCCCCGAAAGCAAGAGTGATTTCACTAGAGTGTCCTCTCAGAGGATACGATAATAAAAAAGAAGATTAGCCCAAATGCGTGCATGGTGTGAACTTCTTAGTGCAGATGTTCACCAAGGGGATGGATGGAGGCCATTGCTTCTTGAAATGCCCGCGAGCATGGGTACTTACTATTACTGTTCGTTTGTTAAATATGTTTCTCGATTGCACTACAACTTACATAACATACTTATTGCAGTCTTCCAAGTCTGAAGAAAACTATGGGTTCACTATGTGGGTCGATCCTCATCCAATTTATCCGTATCAGCAGTACATCTACTACCTATAGGACCGTATTTTGAGCTAAAAAGGAAAGTTAGCAGCGGTTACAAGGACGACGAAGACGACGACAACAACAATGGTGCCGGTTCACAGGAGGCGCTCTGCAATGATCCATATTGCATCTGCTCTAATCACAAGAATAAGGGGACTCCGTCGCCACCCCCGCCACCACCACCACCACCAACAATGGGAGGATACTATGGAGAAAGTACAACACAATTTGCTATGTGGCCACACTACTAGGAGGAACCTATCTTATTCACATGCTAGATCCATGTGTTTGTTGTTTCCTTTAATTACCTAAGACATGTTAGGTTTAGTCAAATGACCTATGTACCCTTGTTTGGTACATGTTCTCACATGCCATTTCATGTGCTTGTTGTTCGCTTCAATCACCTAAGGCTTGTTAGGCTTAGTCGAGGACCTCTGTACCCTAGTTTGGCACATGTTCTCACATGCCATTTCATGTGTTGTGCGTGTCGAATTATGTAATGCACTAGTTGGTTATGTTTTATTTGTAGTACGTGAACTTGTTTCACTACCTCCGCAATATTAAACTGAATATTATGACCACAAATAATGAAAACAACGACACAATAAAAAGTCCAATACTAGGGCACATTAAACAACACAATGATAATAGAAGTACATGTCGACAAACTAAATAACACAGTAAATAGCCTAAGTACGTCCATAATTAAAGTGCAGTACATGACAACATAATGAAAAGTCCAAGACTAGACAACATTGTTCATGAATAAACCATACAACTAGCAAGTCATGGAGACTACTGAGTGCAACGAGGCCACTTTCCCTTCCTCAGGGCATCGGGATTCTCCTCCATCGCTGCTTTCGCTCGGCGCGCACGCTCAAGCTTCTTCTCCCTCTCCTCCCTGTACACAGCAACACGCCTCCTTTCCTCCTCTTCCTTGTGCTCCTTTTCTACAGCCACCTCTTTGCGTCTCCTCTCGATCAACTCCTTGTCCTCTGCCTCCCACCGCAAGAGTTTCTGCATCCACTCCTTGTCTTCCGGCTTGATCTCAGTGTTGATCCACTGTTCAAAATCACAGAGCGGTGGATGGGTCTACAATACATTCAAATTTTACACACCAAATAAACTATGCATGACTTCATATGACACAAAATAATTATTACACAACATCAATTTCCCACCATCTTGTTAATACGGCGCTGACGAAGTATAGGCTCAAAGGCAAAATTGGCACACATCCAATACCTCTGCCTATACGTAACCTCTTCATCGGACTTCGCTACCTTGCAAGGATCATCGCAAAAGCACATGGGCACTGGAACACCACTAGGCAGAGGCAATGGGTTAAAGGCATTTCCGGTCATCCGGCCATAACTACAAATGAATCAATTTCGTTCTAAGAACCGAAAGCAATGACCATTAAACCCTAAACCTAGGGTTTTCCATGTGTTGCACATAAATGAACCAATAATATAACACGTTTGACAGAGATTATCTTGGTTTACTAGCTTTACTACGCCTTGGCATCATACCGTTACATAATACAAAAAATTAATAATCACTTCAAACAATAAGTACTAATGTATTTAGGGTTGCAAAATACACGTATTATATACCAAACCAATGCGTACAAAATGAGGAGGGGAGAGAACATACCTTGCTCTCGAAGATCTATGGATCAAATCCAACTTTTCAAGGTCAAATTGCTTGATTCAAGAGATTGGAGGGTTTGGGGAGAGCAAAAACCCAAGAACAAGGAGGAAGAAATAAAAGGAGCCTTCGCCAGGGAAACCTTGGCGTCGGTTTTGAATTTGAGGTCAGCGCCGAGATCCATGGCTCCGACCTACCTGCCACGTCAGCGCCACCTTGGCTGGCCTGCTGTTCCCGGCTAGGCATCTCGGTGCCAAGACCTACGGCGCCAAGACATGTTACCTCAGCGCCGTAGGCCACGACACCGACGCCCTGGGTCAAAAGATCAATTTATGTCACCCAGGGGGTTAAACGTAAATTTTCTACAAAAATGGCCAAATTGCAAAAAATTGTGGCATGCGGATGCCTTCCCCTGATACCACCTTCATCCTCGGTAAGGTCCCCGTCATCGGCCGGTCTTATCGGTTTGCATCGTGAATTCATGGCCTTTATTTCGCCCCGGGATGCTCCCGCTTTACCCACCATAGCCAAAGAGGATGGAAATTCTTGACGTGCGAGATGTGGGTAAGTTCATGCATGGTTGCTACTTGTAGTTATCATGTGCATCTTCAATCCCATTTAGGGGTGCCTTTGACAGGGCTTCAGGTTCTTAAAAAAATATTTCAGATCCAGATTCTCTATAGAAACGTTTCTCTACTGAAACAGTGAGAATCGGTGAAACCGTTTGGCTACCAATCCACATTCTCACTGAAATGGACTAAATCACCGAAACAAAATGATCCACATTCTTGTTTTGCAAGTGTTTCACCGCGCGAGCCGTCCTACTTTTGCAACATCTAGATGAAACACATGCAATATATATCTGAAACAACTGAAACACTTGCAACATACGTCTGAAACACTTGCAAAACACCCAGATGAAACATCCAGATGAAACACTTGGAACATACGTATGAAACATTTGAAACACTTGAAGCATACTCTTTCAACATGCATGTATATGCAACACCTAGATTTACTTTTGCAACATCCAGATAAAACACTTGAAACATACATCTGAACATTTGAAAATATATGCTTGCAATGTGCGTATATTGTCATTGCAACATATGCAACATATCAGATTTACTTTTGCAACATCCAGATCAAACACTTGAAACATAAAGTCTAGAACGCCTGAAACACTAAAAACACGGCGTCGCCGGCGGCCACAACCTACCTGGTGGGGAACTGCGATAGCCAGCAAGCTAGGGTCAGGGGGACGTTGGCCCAACGTACACCTCTGCCGCAGGACGTCAATCCGTCGCTCCTCCTACGATTCTTCCGTGCATGCCGCTGTTGTCCAACGTTGCTCACGGCAGATGGGGCGCGGCGCGGCCAGCAATAGTGTGCGGCGCGGTGGGGGAAGGGCACGACGCGGCAGGGGACGGGCGCACGGTGGGGGATGGGGGCGCGGTGAGGCAGAGTGGGGTGGGTGTATGCGAGGTGACTCCACGACACCGATGCAAGTGCGAGTGGAGAAATTTCGACGATAGAAGATGGAAGAGATGTAGAGGTGCTGTTGGACACTTTGGGCCTGTCCGCTTCTCAAAGCTCAGGAAGGCATGCATCTGGATGGGACGGACGACCATGTGCAAGCATCTGCGAATATTTTCGCTCCAGCAAACAGAAAAGCAGCAACCGCCCCGGGACCATGACATTGACCTCAAGAAAAGGCGCAAATACTTGGGCCTAGCAAAGGCCGAGCCCAACCACATCCTCCGGCCTCAGCGAAATATCGCCGTCCAGAACCGAACCCACCAGAAAATATCCAAACCCGTCAAGCGGAACAGAGGTTTATCCCTACCAGCACCAGCCTACCACTCCCCCGATGCGGCGACGGTGAGCAACCCCACGGCGGAAATGGACGCCAAGCTGCTTCTCCCTTTCCCCTCCGCGCCCGCCGCGCTCCACCCGGCGACTGCTGCGGCGGCGGGAAGGGTCCCCAAGTCCCTCTTCCTCGGCGCCTCGCTCCCGCTGCGCCCGCCGCCGCCGCCGTTCCCGCTGCGCCTCCGCCCGCGCCCCGCGGTGGCGGTGGTGGTGGCGCAGGCCGCCGTGAAGCGCCGCAAGGAGGTGCCCTTCGACAACGTGATCCAGCGGGACAAGAAGCTGAAGCTGGTGCTCAAGCTTCGCAACATCCTCGTGGCGCAGCCCGACCGCGTGATGAGCCTCCGCGACCTGGGCCGGTTCCGCCGCGACCTCGGCCTCACCCGCAAGCGCCGCCTCATCGCTCTGCTCAAGCGCTTCCCAGGCGTCTTTGAAATCGTCGAGGAGGGCGTCTACTCGCTCAGGTTCCGCCTCACGCCGCCCGCCGAGCGCCTCTACCTCGACGAGCTCCGCCTCAAGAACGAGTCCGAGGGCCTCGCCGTCGACAAGCTCCGCAAGCTCCTCATGATGTCGCAGGAGAAGCGCATCCTCATCGAGAAGATCGCGCACCTCAAGCACGACCTCGGCCTGCCGCCCGAATTCCGCGACACCATCTGCCTCAGGTACCCGCAGTACTTCCGTATCGTCCGGATGGACCGAGGGCCGGCGCTGGAGCTCACGCATTGGGACCCCGAGCTCGCTGTCTCCGCGGCGGAGCTCGCCGAGGAGGAGAATCGGGCGAGGGAAGCCGAGGAGAGGAATCTGATCATCGACCGCCCACTCAGGTTCAACCGTGTGAGGCTGCCCAAGGGGCTCAAATTGACGCGGGGAGAGGCCAGGAGGATTGCGCAGTTCAAGGAGATGCCGTACATTTCACCATATGCTGACTTCTCACACCTGCGGTCCGGGGCGGCTGAGAAGGAGAAGCATGCTTGTGGAGTGGTTCATGAAATTCTTAGCTTAACAGTGGAGAAGCGCACATTGGTGGACCACCTGACGCACTTCAGGGAGGAGTTCAGGTTCTCGCAATCCCTGCGGGGCATGATCATTCGTCACCCGGACATGTTTTATGTATCGTTCAAAGGGGATAGGGACTCGGTCTTCCTCCGCGAGGCATATAAGGACTCGCAGCTGGTCGAGAAGAACAAGCTGGTGCTGCTTAAGGAGAAAATGAGGGCTCTTGTGGCTGTACCACGCTTCCCAAGAAGAGGCGCAGCTAGTATTGGCGAGGAGGGTGAGGGAATCAATGGATCACTGCAACTGTCGGACGAAGGAAGTGACGAGGAATACGATGAAGACGAGGGACTCTCTGATATGGAAGATTTGATTAGTGAGCTTTCTGGTGGCAAATCGGATGCTGACTACCAGTGGGGTGATGGCTGGTTTGGTGAAAATGATGACGCGCCGCCAGAGTTTGGAGATGATGACTCAAGCCCACAAGAAGTCAAGGTCACTATGAAAAATGCTGATGGTTCTGCCAATGGCAGAGCACCTGTTCCTGTATTTCCTGATGGCAGACCAAGGGAACGGTGGTAAATTGAGATGTTTTAAACTTTTGGTTGATAGAATTATTAATCTCTAATCTTAGTTCTTTTATCATATGTAATTGCAAAGCCCTTTGTCTTTTGAGGTGCCCTGCTGATTTTTGTTACCAAGCACATCACTTTTCGAGGGACCTACATGGAAATGCTAAAAGTCACTCCACAAGCACAATCCTCTAGTGAATGTTAAAAGGCATACTGATTCGTAAACCTATATTTCACATAAATGTGTATAATCATCCTGGTTGGTGTTTCGTAGTTTTGGATTGTATGAACAAGGATAGTGTATCAGTAGACTATGCATGAATATCTGGCATCTTTGTTGGACATCTTGACCTTTTCACGAAAAAAATAAGATTTCAGTTGTTATGAAGTCATGTTTTTTTTAAGAAAAAAAGGAATAGTTCTGGCCTCAACAGCCGCACAGAGTCAATTCTTACAAAGTTTTCAGCTCAATTGCTTTTTATCAAAATAAGGGAAAGAGCACACACAAACGAAAGAACAATCATATATGCAAAATCTATTATTGTTTCTATCCATTCTTGGCAAAGATGTCCAGAACGACAACCTCTAATGCTTTGCTCGCCAAGCTGACCATATTATGAAGTCATGTAGAGTAGTAATTTGTTTCAGTGGACTGGATGGCAAATAACTTTGGCACAGCACAACCATGCCTATAGCTTATTTTGTTTCTGAGACATACTTCTTTCTTAGTAATTACCACTGGAACCAAGGGCATTGATATTATTTTCCTTTCACCCCCTTGATCTGTCAGTTGTTTAAGTTGAGTCAATTGTTTGAGTCCGCAACAAGAAGGTGGAGGCAAGAAATGAGATATCCAAACAATTGGAAAGTGGAATGAGAAAAATGAACTTAGGGGGTGTTTGGTTTGGACTACTAAACTTTAGGAGCTACTAAATGGTTTAGTCAAGGACTAAAGCCTTTTAGTCACATTTAGTCATAGTGTTTGGCAAAAAAGTTACTAAAGGGACTAAAAGTTACTAAATTTAGGAGCTACTAGGTGAACCAAACAGGCCCTTATAGGGATTTAAGTGACATTGTTAACATTCAATGAAGCATTAATCTTCCAGTATATCTTGTCGTGCAATATCTATGACAGTTCTTTTTTTTTTTTTACCAAAGCTGAATTCTGACCTGTCTCATTCATAAGTTGAGAGATATTTTCCATTTCTGTTACCTGTCTGTCTGGACAGGCAGCCAAAACTTTAGGGGCATACAGTATATCATTAACATTTAACACACAGTATATCATTAACATTTAACATACAGTAGCAGCCATGGTCTGAATTTTGCCATTTTCAGAATTTTGTGGTTGGTGTGATTAATCAGCTACAGCCATGGTCTGAATTTTACCATTTTCAGAAATTTGTGGGTGGTGTGATTGATCGTTACTTCTGATATAAACTGTGTTCCAACCTGTATATAAGGACCAAGTATAAAAATGTATTTTAAATTTTAATTCACTGTCTTGTTTGATATGTTGGCCTCTATTGAAAAATTGGGCTCTGCTGTTTACTCTGTTAAGTACAAGTGCTATCTTGAGTTGCATTGCCTGGTAATTGATATAGCTTGTGTTTAGCTCTCTGGAAAAACTATGAACCTAGTTTGAGTTGTCCTTAGGACGCGGTTGTCGTTTGGAAGCAATTGTAAATGGCAGTGGACAGTGGTGGCATGGGTGTTACCTTCTAACGTGTCCTTTAGCCAGTGCCTGTTAAATTTGATGACAAAGAAGGTAGGGAACAAGAAATGCAAACCAGTCACTGGTTCAATGAATGTCCACCGCCGAAACAAAATAGATGAGACGTGGACTGTATATAACCCGATAAATGAATGGGTATATTTAGTGGCGGAGCTAGGTTATATACGTAAGGGGGGCCGGTCGAATAATTTCAAAATATGAGAATTGAGTGTAGCTTATTTGTTTAGTTTTGTCTTGGGGTTAGGCTTCTATTTTTCTGAATTTATTCTAGTATTTGATGATTTAACCATGCTTGTTATTCTTCATATAATAGACGATCGTGTATATTGACAGTGGGGCGCATGTGATGACTCATGAATATTAAAATCTACCGGCTTAGTATTTCGAAAGTGCTCATACCCTTGGTAGGTGACTGTGTCTATCGATAACGGAGCACATATGATTACTCGTGAATCTTGAAATCAACCCGCTTAGTATTTCGAAAGTGCTCATAGCGGAGTAGGACGTGTATTTCATCATAGGAGTGTACGTACGTGAGCGCCTACATTTATACTGTGATTCAAAAAAAAAAGGATGGTCACCGAATTGTTATTGCTAGTTAAATACGCGTTTAATAAAATATGAAGTATAATGAAGCATAAGTATTTTAATAAACCAAAAAATTAAAGATATATCCTAATATGGTAGGCAAACAAATTTAGATAAGTCAAAATATTTTATTCTAATTATATTCTATGTGATTTTGTTGTCTAAAATATGCCAATAAACATTATAACAAGATTTTCCTTATTATACTCTTTTTAATATAAATATAGACTATTTACTACATATATTATATATAAAGAAATTGTATTGTTAGGTCGGGGGATGGCCCCCGCTGGCCCCCCTTGGTTCCGCCAGTGATTTTTCGGCTTAATATGCTGGTCTTCTAAGCTTATTGCGATTTGGTTACTGAAGAAATAATTCGGTGCCCTTTTGCTGCGATGTGAAAATCCTTTAAGAAGTGTGCTATGACTGTAGGCCTTCATCCTCACGGCACAAAACCAGATGTTGAGTTTCAGTCCTGATTTTTTTTATGGGAGCTGTGGGGGAGGTGAGTGGCTTCACCTGAACGATTTACCATTTGATTCCGGCAAGCCAGAGATGGACGGACCTGGGTACGGATTGCAACAGTTATATTAAGATTTACGTGGGAAACTGGAAACCTTTTATGTATCTGTTGCTCTTTTCTTGCATTCAGTTTGCAAAAATGGCATTTGTTCAGTATTCCCTATGTTTTTATTTTCCGACGAGACAAGGCACGACCCTCGTCTCACAGTGTTCAACCAGTGCTCACATGCTGCATTAAGATCTTTGGCGGATGTGCAGCAATGAGCTCGAAACCTTCTTCGTCAACTCAAGATGTGCGCTAAAATCCTTTGCATAGCACCGGCGATCGCGTCGTCAAAGCAAATGCTTTGACAAATGATAGTACTAGGAGGGGGTTGAGGTGGGAATTAGAGCAGGATCGACGTGCTGCCCGTCAACTCGTCCCCGGCACTCGCGGAGCCAGGGGGCAGCGGGGGCCATGGCCCCCTAACAATACAAATTTTTTATATATATAATATATATAGTAAATAGTCTATATTTATATTAAAAAGAGTATAATAAGGCAAATATTGTTATAACGTTTATTAGCATATTTTAGACAACAAAATCAAATATAATATAATTAGAATAAAATGTTTTGATTTATCTAAATTTGTTTGCCTACCATATTAGAATATATCTTTAATTTTTTGGTTTATTAAAATACTTATGTTTCATTATATTTTATTGAACACGGATTTAACTAGCAATAACAATTCGGTGACCATCCTTTTTTTTTGAATCACGGTATAAATGCAGATGTTCACGTACACTCCTATCATGAAACACACGTCCTACTTCACTATGAGCACGTTCAAAATACTAAGCTAGTTGATTTCAAGATTCATGAGTAATCATATGTACCCCGTTATCGATAGACACAGTCACCTACCACGGGTATGAGCACTTTCAAAATACTAAGCCGGTAGATTTCAATATTCATGAGTCACTACACGCGCCCCACTGTCAATATACACGATCATCTACTACATGAAGAATAGCGAGCATGGGTAAATAGTTAAATACTAGAATAAATTCAGAAAAATAGGAGGCTAACTGTGAGACAAAACTAAACATAAGCTACACTCAATTTCCATATTTAAAAATTTTTCGACCGGCCCCCCTTAGGTATATAACCTAGTTCCGCCACTCCCCGGCCCGGTATGTCTGTAGTAAATCAGCGTATCGTTCTCGTATGAACCTGACATGATCTGAAGGACAGTCTTTGGACCACGCTACTACGTGCTCCCGAGAGCTGCTGCAGGATCTTTTCCTTCGAGATTTCCACTCCACTGTTCTCCCCACACTCTAGTCCTCCACCTTCTACGTCTGGTTCACGCCTTCCAGTACAGCACCCCGATACAACCTTGTCTTCATCCGCAGCATGCTGAACTTCCTCTCAAGGCTGTCTCCAACAGAAGACCCATCAGGAGATCCAAACCCAAAATGAGTCTCCAACAGAATACCTATAGCCTCCAACAGAGTATCTATATGGAAGACTCATTTTAGGTGTCAAGAGAGCTATAACCTAAATTTAAGTATCCTCTCTCCTAGAGACCTATTTGTAGAAAGGGTTCTCTTTTGAGTTTTGTTATTGGAGAATACCAAAAATAGGTATTGAACTCTTTATCTGTAGCGCTACCCAAACATGAAATGGGTCTTGTATTTTGGGTAGCGGTTGTTGGAGACAGTCTAACCGCGAGGCCATGTCGCCTTCGTGTTGTCAGCCTGGGTTCTAGAGTTTTTCGTGCGTCTATCGCGAATCGTAATGTGGCAAACGTTTTGGTTCACTACTACACTCGCACCTTTCACAGACGCGTCGTAACCCACATCACAGTCCAATTTTAGCCTCGGCAGTCATGGGTGATGGAGCAGGGAAGACGACGCGGACCATTTGATTCCCTGCACTTTGTGATCTAACACTAACGCTGAATCACCGTATGAAACGGCGATGGGAACTGCAATAATGATAATTTGCAAATAAACCAAGGCAAATACTTCCACCCCAGCACCATCTCAGTGAGGTGCTTTAGCTCACGTCTATGTAGCCAAGGCAAATACTACGACACTTCAAAAAATAGAGTAACAAGCATCACAACCATTCAATTATTAATTTTTTAAAGCAAAAACTATATATAAATGACACA